TTGCGGCCTGGTTGGAAACCGATCGAATACACGTAGTCGCCATGGCAGTGTAGTTTTGATAGTATTCTAAACGGAAACAGCATACTTACAAAAACTAGCATTGAAGAGATGATAAGATTCGAAAAAAGAAAGATCCTAGGGTAATGAAGAAGTTGCGAAAAAAAAAGAAAACAAGAGGAGAAGCAAATGAAACGAGAAAACTGCCTCAGGAGCGAAATTGAGGTGAAATGAAAGCAGTTCCATCGTTAGCTATGATTACAACTACAGGGGTGATTCCATGGATTACAGTCAGCTGGAGGATCGATGGATTTTTACAGGGTACACTTGGACAGAGTTTAGATAATGTCAAGGCATTTTGAAAGCAAATGCGTAAGCTACAAGTTTTTTTGCTCAACACGAATTCAGATGAAGTAGGTATGAGCATTGTGCTTCGGTAAAAATAGAATTGATGGGGCTATAAAGTTCATTGGTATACATGATTGAGAGAGATCACTGAAGACCTCGAAGAACTCTTAAACAGAATACCCATCGGGGTACAAGAGCGACGAGCAACGGGTGGACCGACGATTCTAGTCAGTTGGAAACACCTATTGACTAGTCATAACACTTGTCCTCTGCTGCTAGCTTCATACTCACTGTTAACCTTTCTCCATGCTAGGTCTTACCTTGTTCAATCCCTTGCCCCAGTCTCTGTCAACACGTCCGCTTGTGGGCGGAGACGGTATGCTCTACACCCACCTCACTGAAGTCTAAATTTGCTGCTTTAGTGCACTTTCAGCTGCACAAACGCCATACATCATCTGGCTCGTAATCAAATTTCTTTTCTTCAATGTCTGCATTATAGCAGTAAACTAAATTATAGTGCAAACTGCCCTCGCTCTTTTTTCACGACTTTCGACGAATATACAGTTCAAAGCGAAGTTGGCCATGAACACAGCCCGAGAAGCTAAAATTACCAACCTGTTCCCTAGCTTTCAGCTGTTTCACCTTTTTCAATTCCTCATCCATTTCCAAATTATCAAGGATGACAGCGACAAAAAGGCTGAGCACAATCTGAAATGGATGGTTTTAGATTGGAAAAAAAGAAAAAAAAACATCTAAAAGTGTGATGGGGGATTCACCAGTGTTACTAGTAAGTGATATCCAACAAAGTAAATAGCCACAAATGGAACCATCGATTCATTNGTGGCTCGCAAAATCTCGACTACCACATCTGTCCAACCCTCTTGGGTAATGATTTGGAACATCGACATGAACGCCTGAAACGATCTCGAATGTAGGAATAGTAAGAACAGAAACGGTGGATTCATAGAAACAGAGCTGCTCCCGCTTTCTGCGTCTCTTCCATGTTCTCTGAATGGGAATCATGCTCAAAAAGGCTTACCATAGGGAATGTCGTGAATTTTTTCAAATTCGGCACATAACAGAATAACTGAAGTGAAATGGCAGAAGTGATGAAAAGAAGCACCATGGTGAAGATGACCAGACCTCCTAATTTCTTGCCAGGACCGAAAATCTGGAATCAAGACGGTAGGAACTCATGGAAGGCTATGGGTAGAATCGGTATACTTACTTTATAGACAAAGTCCTCTAACATCGGGGAAGCCTTGATGAGACGAACGATACGGAACACTTGGAAATAGGNAAGCACCATGGTGAAGATGACCAGACCTCCTAATTTCTTGCCAGGACCGAAAATCTGGAATCAAGACGATAGGATCGCATGAAAGCCTATGAATAGGACTAGTTACTTACTTTATAGACAAAGTCCTCTAACATCGGGGAAGCCTTGATGAGACGAACGATACGGAACACTTGGAAATAGGTGAAGATATTCATATTGTACAGTGGACGAATAAGATTCAAAGTGGATCCTGAAAAGATCAGCATGGTCCCGGAATGACTTCAATTGAGCCCTCAAATATAGGTCTAGTTGAGGTACAGTATATGCCCTATCATCTGACAGAAAATGGAACAGTGAAGTTTCTTTAAACCTTTAGAAGCTGAGAAAAGTCTCTGAAGCGCAAAAAGTAGAGCTATCACGGAAGGGCCTACTCCGTCATTAGCGACATCAAAGGCACGATTCACGGTCATTTCAGGGTACTCTTTCCAAGTCGGAAAGCGTATGCATTCGTTGGGATTAGCGCCTCGGTGGCGAAGAGAGCGATACAAGTAGCAGATTTTGCAAAAAATAGAGCTTTTCGAAAGTTTTAAAAATAGATGTTGTAAGAAATTATCATGACCAAAATGACATAGAAGGGGCATTTGGACGAGTTTGCAGTTATTGCAAATGTGCAAACAGCTGGCTACATCAACCAAAATTGCCGAGAATGTCTTTTACTGCCGACATTGGTCCAGGCAAGTTGTTTGAACTTCCTACATGGGTTTCCTTGTACTACGTGCGCCGTTGAAACTCGTCCGCGCATACGCACGGAACAATCTCTGAGTCTTTATAACTCCTTAACTAGACCGTCCTTCGACCTGATAACGCCAGTTCCGGTATACAAGGGGGGCCTCGATTTCATCTTGAGGAGATATCTCAGAAACCATTTTTGTCGTGTACTGCACCTTTAAGCTCGAGCCGTTGGTAGTGTAGAAATTCTTACAAAACAAACTATATCGAATTATAAAAACCAGGTCAAGTCTCAAAGGGGAAGAGTAAGCGTCACTGACCAACGCAAAGGATGAGTTCGAATTTATGTTGACCACGCCTGACGTAATTCTTCCAGCCATACCCGATCACTTTCAGAAGCGCTTCGATGTTGAACAGCACCGTGAAGCAGATCTGATAACAGAGCTCATATAACTATCAGTGAATTCCGAAAAATTCTAACGATTTCACAGCTTACAAAGGTCCGCTCTCTTCAGAAAGTAGTCAGTTCGCAATAGTCAGGAATAGTATCAGGATTTTAGGATCCCTTTTTCTAAGTTTTCTGATTACTTGAAAGTGCTGTTATACCAGATTAGAAAAATTTTACTGAATTGATGCCAGGAAAGGTTTATGTCATATCATGATTAAACCCATTAAAAATTTAATTGTTATTCACAATTTAATATTATTCCAGACTTTCAAAAACTGACCTCCATATAATAGTAGATCTCTTTACGTATGGCATCTGATTTATCATGACGATAGACAAATGAGGCATTAATCAGCGCATTCAGCAACACCAAACCCATCATGGATATTTGGAATACGGTACTGTTAACGATCTGAAAAATGACAGCGTGAACTCATTTTTCGCAAAAGAAAAGAATTGATGCACATCAACCATCGGACGCAACAGAGGGCCCATTTTGAAGATACTTTCAACTTTCCGAGTTTGTGCTTTCATCAGTCCAGCCGGCCTAAACAGGGGAGACGGGCGTTAGGATCGATTTTGGGTAATCGATTTGCCGCACGCGGCTGT